ACTGCTGACCCATCGGGAGACAAATGGAAATTTCTCTTACGACCTTTTCGCCATTTCCGACGCAAGTGTTTCTTGTTTCTTTTGATCTCCTTCTTTAGATGTAGACGAACACTTTTGTCTTTGTTTTTCTGTTTGCTTTCTTCAGAAATACTAGAAGTTTGTTGAAACTGATGTCGAAAGCTCAAAACTTGTCTAATGATACGTTTTGATGAAATGTAAACCAAGTTTACAGAACAAGTTCGTTAAAAATAAGTCAGTACTACTACATTATAATTAATATCGTCACCTGATGGATCAGCGGTAAGTTTATAGACTTACAACGCTAAAATCCAGCGTTCGATTCCCCTGGTAAACAGAGCATAAATGACTTATTGTGTAGCTTTGTGTCAAGAAAACAAACTGTATCTTTATTTTAAAATTTGCTGAAAGTGAAAATCAAAAATTCAATATTTTTAAATAAAGGTATGAAACAGAAGAAAGAAGTAATAAATAATGTTCTAATGCAATTCTTTCTTAATAAACTTGAATGTTGATGGTACAACAAAAATACAAGCAAATGAAACAAACTCTTCTTTTTTATGTTCCGGGATAACGAGTCAAGTTCATATATTGAAATCGTTATTTATGAATGAACCTGCATACAAACCATCTATAGCTACATTTAATATTTCTCAGATTTTATCAGAATTACTGATTATAAAGACCTTTTGGCCATGGAAAATATCCTGCGCTGAATTACAGTATAGTTTTAGCCTAATTTTAAATGACGGTTTCGGTGAATTTATGAGTCACTGAGGTTAAACAGAAAAAACTCAAAATCCTATTTTCCTGAGGTAGTTAAATAATTGATATGTTTGATGCACATCGTAGTTTGAAAACATAAAAATATATAGAACAAACAAAACTAAAAGTTTATTGCTCTCAGCCCCCCAAAAATAAAAAATACGGATAAATACGTTTTACACTTTCTTTTAAACTCAATATTTCTCACATAGGGTATCGTTTATATTCTATTCTTTTTTTTATATTTTAATAACTCATGTAAATAGCTATTTTTTACAAAAAAATAACAGTTAATAAGACACAAAACAAAATCTCAGAGCGAATTAATTCCCAATTTATTAAATATTATATTATTTGAACATATATATTAAAATATATTGAATTATTGCATAAATTGAAATCAATCTCTTCAACTGTATTAACGGATTATTTTGTATAACACTGAAAATATAATTATATGTATGATTAATGCAGCTAAATAAACATAAAGGCTACAAAAAATAATATTCATAGACATTCTATTGTGTTAAATAAGTCGTAAATATATATATATATATGTTTGTGTGTGTATTTATTTATTCTGTTCCCTGTATTATTTTTATTATTGACATGCTCCAGTTCGACATGGTTGATATAATAGTTCATACAAACATAGAAAGCGTTAGAGAATTTTAAAATAATTTATTGTATTCTAACAAATATTTGAAACGCTTCTCGAATCAGTTTTTAAGAAAAGTATTGCACATAATGCTTTATCGGTTAGTTTTCCATTCCAAATTTAGAGCATGCGATTGGTTCATATTAAGTTCTTATTGTGAATTTTGTGATATATGGTAGGCTTATAAAGAAAATAGGTCCATAAAATTTATTTATTTATTTCATAAAGACCACCGCCTAGCATGGAATGGTGGCTAGGACATTCGACTTACAATAAGGGTCGCGGGTTCGAATCCCGCCCTCTAAAACGCTCGCCATTACAGCCATGGGGAGCATCATAATGTTTCGTTCAAACCAATTATTTGTTGGTAAAAAGTAGGCGGTGATTGATGTTACCTATAAAATTCTAGATGGTTATCGCAGGTAGCTATCCAGGAGCTTTGTGCGAAACACAAGCATAAAGATATATGTTTCTAACATATTAATTCAAAGCAGCAATGTAGTAAATACAATGGAGAACTAGAGCGTGAATAGTTTCTTTTTCTAAGAAGTTGACGGGGAGACTTTTTATGCAGTTTATTGGAATGAGGTTTGTCATCACCTAACTTGCTTATGTCCTCTCTGCATCATTCGCTTCATAAATTGTCCGCTTATTTATCATCGTGGAATACTGTAGTCCAAACCTTAATATGTTGATGCAGTCCCACATTTGACAAAAACAGTATATTATATGCAAACCAGCTCTGTAATAATGCAAATAAAATGTCAGGGAGAAGTCAGCCCAGTTTTTATGCAGACGTATGATGTTGCACGTGCTCCCCTCCAACAGAAAAAGGTCAGTACTCCGGAAATTTCCGGTTTCACAAAAACGTTCAACCTCTTTCTAGAACAATGACTTTCCAAAACGTATTTATACCAGGCAAAGTTTAAATGTTTAGTTGTGCCTTAGTTCTTATTTTATTGGATCAAAGATGTTTCTTATCTCTGAGAACATGAATTATTACATTCTGATCGTTGTAAGTTTTTGTTTTTTTCTGTGGATATACTCCTAGTTAGACCGATGTATAAATTAGTTATATTAATTATTGGGTGTTACTATATATAGCGTGCGGTCTACCGGGACTTTTACACTAGAGCGTGTGGTATGATCATTATATAAACAAAACATATAAAGATGATGAATAATAGCAGTCTACCTGGGATATTTACACTGCTGAAGTATTAATTAATGATGAATAATAGCAGTCGACCTGGGATATTTACACTGCTAAATTATTTATTAATGATGAATAATAGCAGTCGACCTGGGATATTTACACTGCTAAATTATTTATTAATGATGAATAATAGCAGTCGACCTGGGATATTTACACTGCTAAATTATTTATTAATGATCATTATTATGATAAAAAACAAAACTGTGCTACATAATTATTTTTGATGACATACACTTCGTACCACATCCTTACCAAATGATTTACATTAAAACCTTTTAACGATATATACTTCGTATATCATTTACAAATAAATCATCTGCATCTTTTCTTATCACTTTCCAGCAAATGTGATAAAGGCGGGATTGAAACAGCTCACTGCTAACGCCTCTCATTTTCTTTAGGATGAGTATTTTGGCATCCAACCATGATCGTTTAATCGCTTGAGTGTTTGCTCCTGTCACTGGATCCACATAATTGTGCTACATAAAATAATTATGTAGCACAATTTTATTTTTCATCATAATAATGATCATTAATT